TTATCATTTAAAAATATATTTAATTAACAACTCTATTTATTGATATAATAGGTGTTCTGTTAAAAAAAATTGCCAATCAATTTTTTTTTCTTTTGTAAAAAATAGTTGTTTTTTTAACTCTCTTTTTTTGTATTTTTTGTTACTTTTCATTTGTAATATGACATTATTAAAAATCATAAAAAAATTGTTCTTTTAATCCACAATTTTATTTTTTTTTTATCTTTTGGTCTCTATCTACACAGACCTTTCACTGCAAAAGTCACTATCAACGTACGATATTATAGAGAGAAAAAAAAACAATTTTATGTATATAAATTGATATTACAAACCTCCCAAGACATGTAATTTTTATTTTTAAATTCTAATCCTTCTTATTTGTGCATGTTTTCAGTATTTGATTACTTATGAATCTATGATCTCTTTCGTGTTAAATTAATATGGATTAGAGGTTTTTTAATTAGAGTTGCTTATTAAAATGTTTAAATAAAGTATTAATTATCTGAAACAACTTCTCATTAAAACAATTTCATATGTCATTATAAGTGTTTAATTCTTTTTAATTATTTCATCAAACAACTTAAAAAAATTAAGTAAATCAAAATAAATGATGAAAGAATAAGAAAAAAATTAATTTTTTAAATTTTTTAAAATTCTTTTTAATGAAAATAAATGATGAGAAAATAAGAAAAAAAATTAAAATTTTTAGTTTTTTTAAATTCTTTTTAACGAAAAAAAAATCAGTAGTTAATCACTAAATGATATCACATCATAAAATTCTATTTTATATTTTTCAAAATTAAAAACAATTCTTACGAGTTTCTATACTATAATGACTTCAATTAGTCATCCCAGTCACTTATTAATTTTATTATTAATTGTAGTTTTAAGCAGGGATTGTGAAAAGTGTAGGATTAATACTGCAGATAATATAACTAACCGATATTTTCGTTGGTAATGCCACTCCTCATCAACATATAAAAATGTCATTAATTATCAGTGTATGTGTGTGTCCATAATTAATTATTGAAAGATATGCAAATACTTAGTGACCAACCAACAATTAGAGTGGTGATATTTTGACAACTAGAAACCATACAATCTTTTAAACAATTCACTTTTATTAATATAATAATCTATATAAAATGATTTAATAAAAATAAAATTAAATTAAAACTATTATTATAATATTAAAAGATATTTATTTATAAGAGTGGTATGAATTTGGGTTGTCAAAGTATTATTTTCTTATTATAAACTAAAAATTTTAATTTTTTTTCTTATTTTCTCATCATTTATTTTCATTAAAAAGAATTTTAAAAAATTTAAAAAATTAATTTTTTTCTTATTCTTTCATCATTTATTTTGATTTACTTAATTTTTTTAAGTTGTTTGATGAAATAATTAAAAAGAATTAAACACTTATAATGACATATGAAATTGTTTTAATGAGAAGTTGTTTCAGATAATTAATACTTTATTTAAACATTTTAATAAGCAACTCTAATTAAAAAACCTCTAATCCATATTAATTTAACACGAAAGAGATCATAGATTCATAAGTAATCAAATACTGAAAACATGCACAAATAAGAAGGATTAGAATTTAAAAATAAAAATTACATGTCTTGGGAGGTTTGTAATATCAATTTATATACATAAAATTGTTTTTTTTTTCTCTCTATAATATCGTACGTTGATAGTGACTTTTGCAGTGAAAGGTCTGTGTAGATAGAGACCAAAAGATAAAAAAAAAAAAAAAATTGTGGATTAAAAGAACAATTTTTTTATGATTTTTAATAATGTCATATTACAAATGAAAAGGAAAGTAATTCAATATTACAATTGTATGCAAACTTGCAATGGAGTTAATGGTTCAATTAAGGCTACCATGGAGTCAGTTTTTTTTTTACTGAAATATAGTTAATTTTTGGCTTATGACTGTTATAGGTTACAAATTAAATGACTTGATTAACTGGTTTTAGGTCTTAAATAAACGATTATGGTCTTAAAGTGTTGATTTATTAGTGATCTCAAAGCCAGTTTTGTGTGCAGTATGTAACGAATGGAAGGGAATAGTTGTCCCTCCAGCTATATATAGAATGCGGCATTTGTAGCATAAAAGCAATAAAATAAAAATAAAGAAAGATGGGTAGAGGAAGCAGAAGTGTTGCAGCCCATGCTGCCATTGTTGTGATAATTTTATTCTTAGGTAAACTCAGTTTAGCAGAATCCTGGAACGAGGAGAGAGCAGTGATGGACATAAAATATGCAGAAACGGATGTGTATTGCTGCTACGACAACCAGGTACGCAGTTGCAATCCAGGAACACACGACGAGAGTCATTGTAATGAACTTTGCCTCAACCATCCCTGTGGAAAAGGAGGCCGTTGCAAAGTCTTTGGCGGGAAACACCCAAGACATGTCTGCCATTGCTTCTGCTAAATTCATCACCATCAAATAGTTTCTTCCTGGCCTTACACAAAATTTCTCAGGCCACTGCCTTTTGTCTCAACTCATAAATAATGGTTAATTACTGGTTGGAATGTTGTTTAAATGATATTATTACTCTCTTTTCCTTCTATATAAAAGCTTGTTAATAAGATCTTATAATAAAACCAAGAAGTAGTGGGATTTGAGGGTAATAGTCATCGTAAAAATTAAATCTAGTTATCTTTAAGTTATGCGAGGGGAAGAAATCAATGACACTAGAATATTTTGTGAAACATCAATAATTTTGAAAAAAAAAATTAAATAGATTTGAAATGGTAAATATATTTGTTTTAAAAAAGTTGAAATTAAATAGTTTTGAAATGGAAGTAATATTATTGTTTTATGTAAGGGTCAACCATCAGAAAATAATTATTAATTTATTTTTTACTGTAAAATGTTTTTTTTTTTAATTTAGGCTTATATATACCAAAAATTTGCTTAGATTTTAAAAACTATACAACCTATTTGATTTTATTCTCAATTGAGAAATTAAAATCATATATATTTTTTGTCAATATCGCTAATGGTATCTTATTTTAAGGAATGAAAAAAATTTAAATATGTATTAATCATTAATTAGCAATATATTCTTTGAAAATGAAGTGAAAATAAGCTGTATACACCAAAATATAAAATAATCAGCGTGAGATATAACAACAAATTGATGTAGATTTTTTTTTCTTTTTCCTTTATAGGATATATTAATTTGTCTATTTTGAAAGAAAAAAAAATACTTCTTTTATTTGTTATTTTAAATTTTCACGACAATGTTAATTAGTTTGTATTTAATGCTTTTATATACGTTAATTTACTATGTTAAATGCTATTTAAACCTAGTGTTAAATATGACAATTGTATTTAAGAGTACTCCCTTCTTTCTTCACGAAAGCTACCTCCTATCCTATGATAACGTTTACACCACTTATATTTTTCTAATTAATGCTGGAATATTTAATTAACTTGTATTAAATACTTCTTGGATTTTTAAATAATATTTTTAAAAAATTATAAATATATGTTATTGTAAAGTTTAAAATCGTATTAATTCCTCTTTTGTCAATTAGATAAATAAGTATATTTATTATAAAGAGATGAAATAACAAGTTATGATAAATGATTTCAGAAGGAGAGAATAATAAAATGATTGAGTTGATTTGTGTAACTCAATCTTAAACGACAAAAATTTAGAAATAAAGAGTTTTTTTTTTCTAACAGTAATTAGTCGCTATGAAATAAATTGATGATGTCATTTTGTGACTGATGGTAATTTGTCACAAATTATGACGGAATATATAACAACAACAATGTGAATATTGTGACAAAATTAAAAATATACATATGGGTGATGATCTATTTGAAAATATCGTGGAATCATTTTTACAAATTGACTTGTCTGTCACATATACCATCAAAACTCAAATATTTTTATTCACGACACATTTTATGACAGAAAAATATTTGTCACATATATATCAGCTTATGTTAGGCTTGAAGAAAATTTGAGATTATATTTCTTGATTGAGCTAGTGTCGACGGACAAGTATTTGCATGTGCAACAAATGTTTAAGTGAGTGTGTAAGCGCTTCAAGTGTTATTATAATGGTGAAAATATCCGTTAAGTAACACTAATACACAATTAAGCGACTTATTATGCTTGTGATGATCACTTTAAATGAATTTCAAGTTCACTTAAGCGGTTTGAATGTGAACGCAGTATGACATAAGCATGTGTTACTCCAAAGCGAGAATAAAGTCACTCCTAAGTAATACTTCAACAAATCATTTTTGGTTATTTGTTCATTATTCTAACCATCTATTAAGTCACACTTAAGTATGTTTTACTCAAGCCAACAAAATTGGTTAAGCGTGAATCACTTTAAGCGATTATCTATTTGCATTTAAGTGAAAATTGTTTTTATTTTTTTTAACTTGTATAAATCAATGAATATTGTAGAAAAATATTAGAATATTTTTAAAAATATTTTTGCATAGTTTATTTTTATAAAATTTTAATTTTTGCATATGCATTTTAATTAAGTTTATCTTCTTCTTTTTTTATTTAAATCAAACATTTATATTTAATATTTGACAATTCGATAGTACAATAAATGTAATTATATCAAAGATTTGCAAATAAAAAAAAGATATATAATATATATTTCATCAAAAATTTTAATATATTATAATTTATCTATTAAGTAATACAAATATATGACATTAATAATAATTAATCAATATACCCTATAATTCTAGTACTCATCAATGACCTTATTTTCATCATCATTATGAGAGAAAGATGCATTATTATTATTTGATTATTCTTTAATTACTTCTTCATGTGCATGAGTTGAAATTTTGGTTGGTCATGCCACATGAATGAAGTATTATGTCAATTCAGAACAATGAAACATCCAATAACCATGACATGCATTGTTTTATGGCCATCTTAATGATCCTTGAGTTTGCTACAATGTCGATTGTAAGTTATTCATTGGAGTATTGCAAAAGTTATGGAGGACATGTTCGAGGATGTCCTAAAGGAGCTCCTAGTTGGTTAGGGAGACCTTATTGTATGTGACTTATAATAATGAGATATACATATATTTATGGTCAATGGTTGGACAAAACTCTTATATGGGTGGTCGTTAAATGGGTTCACTAAAACACCTACAAATTTACACAACCCATGTATTAAGACTAAAAATCCTATTGAAATGTTGATAATCATATTTTCTTAAGAAGCATAAATAAGTTTTGCTATATTTGTGACTAGATGTAGAGAATGAGAACAATGTTGGAGATTGTCTCATTAAATACGGAGAAGAGTAACATTAGTCACAAGAGTAAGATCTCTCAACCAAACATTATACTCAAAGGATGCATTTAGAAGATATAAATTTATCTTCAGGTATTCATTGATGATCAATGTTTCATAAGACATCTAGACCAATAACTCCAACTCTATACCCTCTTTAACATTTCTTTAATGATAAGTACTGACATAAAATTCCTTTTATTATACTCTCTTAGTAAATTGTATTCAAAGTTGGTCAAACTTCCACCATCTTTTGCCTTCTAGACTTTCTGTGATGACTTTGAATTCTTTTTAACCTAATTCTACTACTCTTACGTATGAATTGTCTTTTGACAATTTCTCATAGTGGGCCTCATGATGAGGAGAAAAAGAATGACTTACTTTGGACATATTTTCATTATCACCTTCATTATTATTGTGTGTGTTTAGATTGGAATGATCTAGTTTAAGAAATAATATATTAGACAACCCTCGTACTTTATGTTTTGAAGATGATAATAAATAAGTTTAAGATTACAAGAAATTAGAGGTAAATAAAAACATCTCTAAAATAACAAATTATGGATAATAATGTTATTGTAGCTAATATAACATTCTATACATGACTAGCATACTCTCTAGTGTCTAGTTAGACATAATAAGGAAAAAAAAAATTAAGACACACTCACATATCATATTATTCTTATCTTTATGTGGTTTAGAATTAATTTTTCACGACACATTATTGTTTGAAGGAATCTTAATAATTAATAATAAAAATATATAAAGAATTATATGCAGATTAAAATGACAAAAGGTAAAATAAAATGAATAATTCTATAAAAGATTATGTGTATATTAAATTTAAAAATAAATTTGTCGTCCAACAAGTAATTCAAATTCGACGAATATTATCTCATATATAGAAATGAAATATACAAAGAGTAATTTTGTATTGCACAATATATTTTATTTTAACATGTATCATCATACGAAAAATTTACAAAAATTTAAGAAAAAGTCAAGATATATCACAATAATTTTACTTATGAATATATTAGAGAATTATTTCTAAAAAATATATTAAAGATTGTGAGTTTTCTATTACAATCATATTTTTTAGAGTCTATAAAGATAAGATGACAAATGCAAACGACACAACTATAATAAATAACGATTATTTTGTCATATCCTTTATTTAGTGAAGTTTGAATATAATTCAATGATCTTATCTGTGAGAGTTTTACTTGTAACTTTTCCTTAAACACTCTCCTTTTTAGCTAGGATTGACAATTAATAATACTTATTGTTCTTAGTCTCAGGGAAAGATTAGAAGAGAAAATCAGAAATATGTTGGTGTGAGATATTTGATATACTCATTAAAACCATAAATACTAGTAAAAATACTTAGTTATAATCAAATTTTTTATAGTGGAATCCTTTAAAAGTTTCTTCAAAGATAATTGGACATAGTCTAAGAGTTAGGATGGACCAATATAACTCCAGTTCTTTTTACCCTTCTACCTTACATACAACTTACCAAGGTCCAAAAAAAAAAAAAAAAACTTAAGACTCTATTCAACCACCCCTTCTAAGGTAACATATCCGTCATAGAAGAATTTCTTCTTAAACTAGAACAAGCTCGTCTTCTTGTACGAGGTCCCTTTAGTATTTGGACAATAATTTTTGTTCTTACGAAAACCATTAGAAAATGAGAACAATAATAAAAATCACTAAAATAAAATTCAGTATTACCTACGAATTTCGCAAGTAATAAATAAAATTTGTAGGTAAAATGTAGATTCCTACTACTCTATATATATATTCAGAAAATTACTTGTAGATTATATCCACATAAAATTACCTATTGTAGATAAATATGTATTCCTATAATGATAGTGTTGTTATTTTCTTTCCATACCAGAATTTCCTATACACATAAACATGTTAATTCAAACATAATCTGTTTACCAAACTCCTCTATACAACACAAATGTTATACCAAAACATTTATAAACTAGATTTCATTCACACTAAATAGAACTAAATAAGCACAAGTTTTCACCACAGGTCAAAAGTACTTAAAATACTAACATAAGTGAGTCATATGAAAGGAAAGGACAAATGAAAAAATTAATCCATAAACTAGTCCAAAAAAAAAAAAAATCCCCTATGGAAATTAATAATTCATATGTGCCTGTCTTTTAAGTAAATTATTTTGTTATTGAGCATCTTCTAGTTGTTGATTGTCTTCTAGATATTGATTATCTTATGAACTCACTCCACCTTCTTGTGGGTGCCTATTTTGTTGCTGTGCAAAGATATTTTGTGTAGCACTTGTAACTGATGCAACTAGATATTAGAAGATTACACCAAAATATATATAGATGGACTCTAATTAAGAACTCATTTGGCATATCTACTCCTTATTAGTCCTATCTTATTAGATGATAGTGTTGACTAAGTTTATTAATCTCTTATGTATTAGCTAATTGATTAGATGATAACTTTGAGAATTTTTCTATTTTCTAAGTTAAATGTCTTTTTAATAAGATAGTTTTTTCTCTTTTTAATGAAGTATTTTTATGTTTATTTTTAGTTGGTGAGAAAATATGCTTATATTTCAATCTATTTTTAATCAATTCACTACCTGATTTAAATTCAATCAAAATTTTACCATTGAAATGGAGTACACACCAATTATATAAATATTCAATAGATTTTCAGTCTAAAGTACGAACTTTTAAAAATTTTATGACAAAAAAAATACAATATCATCTCTTATTTCTACTTAATTGTATATTATCTAAAATTTATGAGATGAAATTAGAAATATTATTGACATTTTCAACGAAGGTCACTGCATGAAGAATAAAAAAAAATAAGAAAAATAATTTAAAGAGAAAAAAATAATTGATAAATAACAAATAATAAATTATAATAGTATTTTTTATTTTTTAAAATTTAATAAATACTTTTTAATAATTTAACTAATAAAAAATTAATACTTACAAATAAGTTTTTATTTTTTTATTAAATAAATGAAGTAAATAATTATAAATGTACATATGCATAGTCATTTAATTTTAGGTAAACAATCGCAAAGAATGTGTTTCTAAATATAGCAACATATGTTTTAATTATTATTAATATTATTAATGATTACAATATTGTTAAATTATTAAAATAACTATTTATTTTTATTTTTTTACAAAATTAACTTAAAATTTTGAATATATATTTCTTGAAATATATAAATTACAATAAAAATAAGAATATAACCAAATAAATTAAATTTATAAAGAACAAAAATGTAAAATGAAAATAAGTTTATAATTTCTATTTTAAACTTTCAACTGACTATAATTAAAAAAAATTGTAAGTAATATTATTCATAATTAAAATTAATATTTTTATGGGATTTATCATTTTAATTAAATATTTAAATGAGATATTATTTAATTACTTAATTTATATATTTTACTTAAAAGACTATTCACATATACTACGTTCATTTACAATATTTATTCAATAAAAAAATATAAATTTATTCATAAATATTAAATGTTATAAAACTTAGAGCTTTCATCAAATGAAGAAAGCCGCGATGATACCATTTGATAGAAGGAAAATTGAAACTCATTAAAAAAAATGTAATGATTGATTAAGCTCGTAAATAACCTATGATATTGACATGATATTGTAATTATTAGTTCAGTTCCAGTTTCTAAAAAATTTGACAAAAGAAGAAGAGACGCAACGTATCAATATTTGAATTTTTTTTAATTATTTAAATTATTAATAATACTTTATTTAATTAAAAAAAAACTGTTAACAAAACTTCCCTCAAAAAGATTGTTAAAAACAGTTACGTAGATAATATATTTGTTGTGCTGCATAAAATAAATATTTTAAAAATATAAAAAAATAATTTATTATGTGTTTCCTAAAGAATGAAAATATTCTAATATATAATATCATTGTTAAAATCATTCAGTACATTTAAAATATGATCCACTTTAAAATTATTCTATGTCACAATTTTATCTTTAAAAAATATAATAAATTGATGAAAAAAATATATATAAATTAATTTTTATCTTTAATTTTTAATATAAAATTCATGAATATTTCAAAACATAATTTTACTGGAGTGGAATTATGCCCTTGAAATGCGCATAGATGTGTCAGATTACTTGAATGTTGAAATGGAAAATGAGAACACAGTGAAAAACAAGAGTAGTGATAACACAGACCCAGCACCACAACACCACCACAACAAATAAGCATGTTCAATAGCGTCCAGAACAAGTAGTGATAACACAAGAAACAGATTCCTTTAAATATTATTACAAATAACCTAGATTTGGTGTGAAATTTTTATAATTCCATTTGGAAGTACTTCGACTCATAGATATATGTATATGAATAATATAGAAAATGTCAGAAAACTCACTAATTGAATTTGAAAAGGGTACACATTGGGTTCCATATAGTGAAATAAGTTTTTCCTCTTGGACATTGAAAAAATACAATGCTGTCTAATGTCTATTGTAATGGTGAGGGAGAAGACCATCTAACCCGAAAACACTAAACATACTTCCCTCTGTATTTAGGCTTTGGATCCTTAATAAGCTTGAGATCTCCAGCCTCCGTTAACTGCGCATCAGCTGGACTGAAAACTGCAGAATGAAGATTACCATCTTCTAACCACTTTGCATGGTTCTCCTTAAATTCAATGTGCTTTATCCTAGCCACCTCAGCTATTTCCTCTGTGTAAGGACCCATCTTCACCATTGTCAGTAATACCCTACTATAACGTGAACTGAGGATCTGCTCTGCCGAAGATATCAGTTTAAAACATGGATGTTCTGGGAAATGGGTTTCAGCAAAATCATCTTCTCTCAACACAGGATAGAAAAAAACAAGCCTTCCCCCCATTACAAGCATCTTGGCTGCCAGATCAAGTAAATCATGCACACACTCAACTAAACTGTAAGGTGCAGTTGATGGTATGTGATCTGTTCTTTTGTCATCAGGAACGGTGTAAGGTTCCACAGCCCCCTTCAGCAGCTTCCGACCACCGGATTTGCGTCCCCCAGCTCGCACTCCATAAGGAGGATCACAAATTATGGCATCAAATACCTAACAAATAGCAAACATATCAACAGTTTTCTAAAAAGAATAAGTTTGCATGCATCAAGTTATTTTTGCTGTATTTTACTTTCAAACAAAATTAGAGATAATGCTCTAGTTATCTTGCCAAATTGAGTACATATCAACTGGTGGCAGAACTTGACAGTCATAACAGACATGGATAAATAGATAAATAACTAAGAACAAAAGTACAATTTCAAGGTTTTTCTTTCCAAATAATCACCTCTTTCAACGTAGGACGCCAAGGAGGAAGGTTGTTATCTGCCCTTAGAAGACCAACAGGCATAGGCAATCCATACTACAAAATAAGTTTAGCAGATTGAAATACAAATTATAAAGTATGCTTTATCTAGCGATTTTCAGGTGGTGCTAAATTCCAACAATGCAAAGACAATATTTCATACAAAACCATTATAACAACTAATGACTGTGTTTGGCACATTTACCTGCTTAAAGTTGCTCCAAACATTACAGTCAGGACCACGTCCATCCCGGACTACCCTAATGTCAATGTCAGCACCCTAAACAATTTAGATAAGTTCTTGTTAAAGGCATGAACTTGCCTAGAAGTAACCAGTCATAAAATAAATACAAAATAAGATAAGTTGCAAAAGGGATAGCCCAGAAGAAGGAAGAAGTAGACCATGGTCATAGCCCCAAAATGAGCTGCTGCGACAAGAATACTTCCAGTTCCAACAAAAGGGTCATAAACAAGCTTCCCAGAAGTAGCTAGTGCTTGATTGGCCATAAGAAAAGCCATTTCCGCGTCCATGGCTGTTGGCCCAAGATAATTTCGGCTTTTCAACTGATAGGTGGGTATAAGCTTCCTATCAGCCCCACCCACTTCGCGACCAAAGAAGATTCTCTTTTGTACAATTGGAGGAAGACCATTATTACCTCCATAATTATCTACTTCTATAAGCCAGAAGTTGTGATCCGGGTTTCTCAACTTTACACGCCCCTGCAAACGAAGTGGCCAAACAATGATGGATATAAACTCTTGCAAAATAATACAAGTTCAATAAATAATGAGAATTTTCATTGATTATAACCCATCTGACCACAAACTAAAACTCTAAAGGACTCTGGTCAGCTCAAATAAAAACAAATGGGAAAAACAAGAGGCCCAAATGCAAGAATTAAATAATACTCAATGAGTTAAAAAAGTTCAGAAATCTTGATGAATTATAACATAAAAGTAAAATAAAATTGGTACATATTGTTGGAAATTGAGTTGATATTAAGAAACATCCACGCAACCAAAGGGGAACTGAGACACAAATCCAAAAACCCTTCACAGAACCTACAATGCAGTTTCCATCATGCTCAACCATATTAGAGAACATTCCAATGAAGTGGCAGTGAACATCAATGACTCAAATAGAATTTCAAGAGATTATTAATAATCAACCTACCTAACAAACACTTAAAAGACTGCCTTGAACCATTTAACCACTTGAGCAAGCATAAAGTCAATAATTTCCTACATTCAAGATAGCATCTCAACTTCCCAATACTTTCCTAATCTCTACCCAACCAATGCTGAGAAATATGCTGATAATAAATTTCATACGAATCAGATTAAAAGAACACCCCACGCACCTTGAAAGGGATGTAGGAGAGCCCTTGAATGAGTTCCTTCTGCTCCTCCAGGCTAATGACCTTCCCGAAGCTATCAACAGTAATTTTGAAAGTGCTGTCAGAATTCAAGTATGGCAATTTCCTCTCATCAGGGTAACTCAAGACAGACTCTTTCAACTCCTCGTAGCTACTCCCTTCCCCCCACAGCTCATACATTCCCTTCACAAGTATGCCTACAAAATTTTCAGCAAAAAACAGTAGAGGATTGAAAATCGAAACTTTTTTTAACAGAGCCATAAAACAAAAACGAAAAACCATTCAACGGTAATAACTGACTTCGGGTGGCAATGTTAAGAGCAAGTTGTTCGGAGGGGAGATTGACGAAATGGAAAGGGGAATCGGTGTGGTAGTGAAGAGGGAGCTTCCATTGCAATTGGAAGGGAACTTCGCCGTTTTGGGGGTCCTCAATGCCTCCAAAGAGTTGTGCAAGAGATTCCACTTCGGGTTTTCTGTAATCCAACAACCTATGGTAGAAAACGCACAAATACCACATGGTTTTCTTTTCACTTTTAGGGAAACAAAACAACGGAAACAAATATGAAAGTGAACTGAGTTGATGAACAGACACCAAATCACAGAAAGAAGGTGAAAATACTAAACCCAGACCAAAACCCTCGTAGCCCTTTCATTCTTTTTTTTTTTTTTTTTTGACTTGCCTTTTTCTTTTTTGGTGCGTGAGATTTTCGAATTTTTTACCAAAATGGTTTAAACAAATGACCTGTTTTTGGTTCCAATAATTACATTTTATTTTATTTATTTCAGTATATTATATTAATCGAAAATATATTTTTCATCTGTTAAATTTAATGTTCAACTTTCTTAAAATTGGAGTGTTCATCATCTTCATATAAGATTGTCTGTAATAATTACAAAGATATTTTAAGGTTATAAACAAATGATGTTATAGATTCACTTAAATACCTAAGCATTTCGATATTTCATGTGCACAATATTTTAATGAAAATACCTTTCTTTGTACGTTCTTACCCATTGAATATTTTGAGAGCATATTAATTTTCTTTATTGCACGTTTGGCAAAAGAATTTCTCCAAAATATTTATTTGAAAAAAATATTAAAAATCAATGTTGGAAAAATTTCCACAATCTAATGCTTTTTAAAGTTTAAATTTTATTTTTCAAAAAATTAAATTTAAAATTATTTTGTCACTTTTTATGTAAATAAACACCTTTTTAATTTTTCATCTCTAAATATTGCTCTTTTATTTGTAATATTGTTTTACATCCAGAATCACATTGGTTATCTACACATTACCTTATAAATTTTGATTTCTTAATTGTCTCTTATAAGAACCTCCTAATAATATTTTGTCCTAAAACACATTCTTACAAATAATATTCTAAAAGGTAAATCAGTTACCTCAAATCTAAGGTGATGTGTAAGCATGACAATAGTTGGGGATAGATTTTTCCTCTCAACTCTTACCCACTGAATCTTTTAATCATTTTTACGCTCGTATTTATTATTGTGGCAATTAGAAATTAAATTCTGGTTTTCATTGGGGTTAGAGTTTGTTTTCCTCCAACCCTATCTAGTTCTAATTTAAAAAATAATAATAATAATTATACTTATAATAAATTAATTTAAATAATTTTTTATGTTTTTTATATAAAAGTAAATATAATTTTATAATTTATTATTATTATTATTAATTATAAATATAATTTAAATTATTATATTTATATTAAAATATGTATATAAAATAAATATGTAATTATTTTTTCTTTTTATACAAATATAGAATACTTATTATTATTATTATTATTACATTATATTTAAACATTTATTTTATGTATATATATATTAATTATTATTATTATTATTAATTATAAATATAATTTAAATTATTATATTTATATTAAAATATGTATATAAAATAAATATGTAATTATTTTTTCTTTTTATACAAATATAGAATACTTATTATTATTATTATTATTACATTATATTTAAACATTTATTTTATGTATATATATATTAATTATTTTTTAAGGGATCATTTTAAAATTCTTATAAATATGAAATATATAATTTATGAAAAAAATATTTAATGAGTTTGTTTTTATTTAATTAGTTTAATATAATAAAAGTTTTAATTATCAATTTTTAAAATTTTTCAAAACATAATTATTTTAATAAGATAAAATTCGATATAAAAAAATAAGAATAATAAATTTCAAAATATAATATAATAAAATTTAATAAAGATAAATTAAAAATAAAAAGAGACATATCTGAATCCGAAAACTTACCTTCATTTTCGTTTTTAGAGCTATCATCTTAACTTAATTATGTTCACCATTCTTTAACCTTTGTAGCTCCATCTCATGTTCTCGTAGTTTTCCAAATAGAGTAGCAATATTCATTTTTGTAAGATCATTTGATTCTATAATAGCAGTGACCTTTGGTTGTCAATTCCTGTCTATGGATTTTAAGATCTTTGTGCTCAACTCCTCATTGTCAAAACCTTTTCCTAATGCTTTCAAGTGATTTATTATATGTGTGAAGCGTGTCTGGAAATCTGTGATACTTTCATTTTGCTGCATTTGAAATAATTCATACTCCTGGATGAGTGTGTTCTTACGTGCTCGTTTTACTTCATTTGTTCCTTCATGTGTTACTTCAAGAGTGTCCTATATTTCTTTTGTCGTCTTGCATTGTGAGACCCTGAAAAATTCATTACGAGTTAAGGCAGAAACAATAGCGTTTTGGGCTCTTACATCATATTGGACACACTTATTTTCATATGGCGTCCATTGATAAAAAGTCTTTGGAACAGCTCTAGACTTCGTTGTTCTCATCGAAATGTAAGGACCATTGAGTACAGCATCCCAAACACTGTAATTTAGTGTTTGTAAAAATATTTCCATTCTCGCCTTCCAAAACTGATAGTCTTCTCCTTCAAATAATTTGTTAGACAAATGACATCTAGAGGGAGTGAATAGATGCACAAATTAAAATAGATGTCAAATTAAAAATTTATTTGTGAGTCAATAATTTGTTTGAACACAGATAAAGCGAAAGCGAGAATATAATCAGGAAAAGAGAAAGAGATAAGGGAAAGATAAGAGAAGAACACACAGAGATTTATACTGGTTCGGGTATAGCCAACCCTACATCCAGTTCCCAGTCAACTCTTAACACAAGAGTGACTCCCCATTCACTATCTTTCAAATTCAGTTTACAAATTACAATCAACTCAGCAGAAGAACCAGTAAAAAGTAAACTAATTAAAAAGACAATCACCTCCTTAGAAACCCACTAAGGATGAACACCTCCCTAGAATCTCACTAGGGATGAACACCTCTTCTGAACAAATCAAAGGATGAAAGCACCTCCTTAGAATCCCACTAAGGATGAACACCTCTTTAGAATCACACTAGGGATGAAAAACACCTCTTTTTCACCAATACAAAAAGGATGAAGGTAATAAAAATAAGAACAGACATACCTGGATAATGGAAACAACAAATGGTAGAAGCCTGTAGAATGTCAATCTCCAAGAACAAGTGTGATTAACAATGAAAGTACAGAAGGTAGTACAGAAGAAGGTTTTCTCAAAAGGTGTAAAATCTCTGTTGCCTTGCTCATAATTTTTTTCTCAAAACTGATTGAATGTAAATTGTATTTTCGAATTCTGTAATTGTGTGTTTTTTATTTTTCATCAAAACTTAATTAAATAGAAAAATAGCATCAGAAAATGGTCGTTAGACATTAATAATATCATAGAGAAAATCAGGATGTATTCAAAAACATTTATTTTTTAAAACGAATATATTTTTTAAATTTGAATTTTCATAATTGATTATATTACCAGTATAATCAATTATGATAGAGAAAATCATTTTTCCATTTCTGATGCATCATAATTAATTATGACAGAAAAATATCACGTTATGAATTTTATCACACTTGTGCTTTGGAGGCTTATGCATAATATTACTTCATCAACTTGTACCTTCATATCCAGTATTCTAAGACTCTATCTAGTCTTTAGGAATCATCTTGGACTTGCTTGAATCATCATCTTTATCAAAAACATATCTTGGGCATGTAGGAAAATGTTTCACATTTTCACCAACGTCATAAATTCAGCTTGTCCTTAATTCATCTTGAATGGTGTTGACTTGAATGTAGTTGACTTGAATCATTATCAAAATCATTTCTTGGGAATGTAGGAAAATTTCCATCAATCTCCCCCTCATTGCTTTCAAGAAACACTTATGAAAAGATTTAAGCAATTGAACAGGAAGTCATTTTACATTAGAAACACTTACACTCTCAATTTTCAATCACTTTTGATTCCCCAAAGTTCAATCTTGATTTTCATCATTTCTAATTTTACCTTCTCAATCTTTTCCCATCTAGATCTTGATTTCTCTTATCAATCTTTTATCGTCTCAATCTTGATTTTACCTTTCGATCCTTTACCTCTCGATCTCGATTTTTTACCTTTTCACTTTCTTCCGCCTCGATCTCGACTTTTTATTATTGATCTCAATTTTTTATCTTTTTTAATTTCAATATTTTCTTCCAACTCATTTGTTCGATATATTTGTAAAAATTTATCACCAACACAATGCTAGACAAATTTCGTTAGTGATGGTCTAATTGGTCATCCAAGAACAAACATGATTCACTAATGATGGACTATAATACCCACTCTTTTGTATGACTCTTTTTTGTTTTGTTTTTTTAAGACGATTTTTGTTTTCAACCATATAATATAATTTATGGTTTAAGATGATTCATCTCTTATTGTGATCAAGGTTTATGATGGATAATTGAAAACTTACCTCTAATAGAGTAAAAACATTTAATTAAGAACAATTGGATTAAGAATGTCACTTTACAAGGCAAAACATTATAATAACAACCAAGATATTTCACAAATTATTATACTTATTATTATAATTTTAAATAAATTTTAAAAATCATTAAATAAATACATAATATTTTTGATTTCATTTTATGTAATAATAACTAAAATATTCGACAGATTATTATATTTATTATTATACATTTAAATAAATTTTGAAAATTATTAAATAAATAGATAATATTTGTAATAATTTGTTAGAGTCATAAATAAATTTAAATAAAATAGATACAAAATATTCATTTAATAAAAATAAGTGTTTCTTAACAAACTGAAGTGTAATTATTTAACAATAGATAAAAAAATATATATTTTTCATCCTAACTAATATGAAATATATTATATTAGTTCTTAACAAAAATTGTTGGTCCATACTTGTAATTTGAAGACATGATTTTTAAGTTTGAAAACTTAATTTCATTAAAATTTATCTATTTGGATAACAAATTTTTGACATAATATATGGTGTATGATATTATGTTTGTGGCATTTGATTCATTCAATATCTCATTTAAAATTCATTAAGTCAAATTTGATTCATAGACCCTAACTTGTTATTTTTTCTCCTCCTTCACCTTTGATTCTATTTACGAGCCACCTACCCTACCACTCCTTTTCCACTACACACATTCATATCCTTTTCAACAATCAATCCTTATTTTGATTTCATTCTTCACTTGTTATTACTTCCTATCATTGCTACTTGCATGGATTCACTATCTCTCTTTATTTTTCACTATAATTTTTTTATAATCTTTCTTTTCCCACCATTTCTCTTTCCCTAATTTACCTTTTGTGCGCCCTTCTTCGTTTTCCCTTCTTCCCCTTTCTCCTCACATCATAATACAAGCTTTTGGTTATAGAAGAGTGTAATAATAGGAAGGGCAGAGAAATAAAAATAGGATTAAATTTGTTATTAGTTATTATTTTTGTTTAGAAAGCAATCAATTCTCATTCTTGTGAAAAAAAAAAGGTTATAACCATTGGAAATCATAATAATTATAAATAAAATCAATGGTACAAAATTTGAGCAATCAATAAGATTTTCTACTTCAATTTCTTTTATAATATTCGAGAGAATCGTGAGTGAGTGAGTACAATCAAGTTGGAACTAACTAACTTTGACATTGGTATCAATTAGCTCTTAACGTTTGGGATGATGATGACACAAAGAAACTCAAAATCCACATGCAATTGTTTGAGAAAATGTTCACAAATGTGTAAGAATCAATAAAGAAAACTTTTCAATTTGTTGTAGAAAATGATAGAGAGTCTCGTTTCTTCCATAACATCCATGAACGACGACAAGAAAAATTTGATAGACCTGTTATTTCTAGTTAATCTATAATAAAGCATTTACAAATTCAATTTCGTATATCCAATGGAACCAACTTTTGTGATTGGAGAGCAAGCACCCATCAATTTTTTAAACTAGAGGCTACACGGATAACACAACGTGGGATGTATTGCTTTAATCCATGAATGACAAGCCTTCTTGTGACAAAGACATTACATGCAACAACCCAACTTCCAGAATAAATCTTGGGAAATAATTTTACAAGATATGTTCCATATCGGTTTGATGACAATAAATTTGATGATTATGTTGTTGAGTTATCAACATTGAAACAAGAAAGAGATTTGTGTTATATTTCAAAATATTTGATTTTTGGCTAGCTCTTGTAGTTACGTCAAAATCCATGGCATTAAGGGTCCACAAACCACAATTTTCTGCAAAAAGTCGTGCATATTGTAAGACTCCAAGAAGAAATTCAAAAAGAATTGGAAAAGAAGATGCATAAAATAATTAACAATCTTGAAATACAAATAAGATATAAAAGGTCTTGGTCAACATATGTTAGCTCACCAAGGAGACACTCTATGACAAGTCTTCAACAAAATCATCATATAGCTTTGATGTCTTCACCAATAACTATAAATTCTAAGGTTAACATGTCAACTTCTATTTCTTGGAAGGAAACTATTGAGAGGATTGCTAAGGAATTGTGTAGATTTTGGGGTGTAACTAGGATAAAAGCCATAGGATGAAATGTAAAGTATGAGGTAAACTAAATGTACTTTTCTCAGCTCAAGAAGAAATGGATGTGGATAGAGTACAAGATACGGTTGTGAGAAAGAACAAGCAATAATAAATAGTAGCATAGCCATGATTGAAGAGGCAATGTCCATATCTCCCCCCATGCTTTACAAGACATAGTAGGTGGCAATACTTTACATGTTAAAAGATTAATAAAAAAAAATAGAAAATGCCTTTCTTTTATGTAGACATGGAATAAAGTATGTTAAAGATTTTTTGATAATGATTGCTTCAAATGTAAAGCTACTAATCACTAGGAAGTGTGAGTAGATAATGTGTGGAGATTTAATGATCACACATTTACAACACTTCTTAGTATTTACCTTGCAACACATTGGGATCATATGAGACATGCAACGGTTCAATACACTTGAAGAAAATTATCATAACTAAGCAACTTTTGCAATGAGATTTAACCATCATGGCCAAGAAATGACATTACAATAAGAAAACAATCATGTACAAAAGTTCATAAACTAACAAGGAAACTCAAACTAGTACAAGGAAGGAAATTGCATGTTACTTACATTATTAGGTTCAAATTTGCTTAGTGTTGTAGGTACAATTGATTAGGAGGCACTAATAACATAACAACATGAACTTACAACAATTTTAGCAATTTTGCCTACACCCCTGTTATTAGGGATGACAAAATGATTCATTCGTGTAAATATTCACAAGTAGCAACTACAAATATTTTAACTTCTTGATTGTTAACGGGTCGTGCACACGGTGTCTAACCTTGGAATGTATACTATCAACTATTTATTTTTATTTAATATATATTTTTTAAATAAAGTTATTGACGAGAAAAATATTAACTATTGAATAATTATTTAAAATTAAAATTTTTAGGTTTGTATCTTTTATCAAAATGCATGAAATTAAAGTTATTTTTAAACAATTAATATTTAAATTAATATTTTGTATTATAACTTATTTAATTAATATTTTATAAAAAATAATTTTATTTTATTTAAATTATATTTTATGATAAGCATTATTAAAATATATTTTATGATAAAAATTATTAAAATATATTTTAAAGAATTTTTTTAAAATAATTTTAATTTTAATTAAAATAAAAATAAAAATATTTATAAATATTCATGATACCCGCGATTATAAAAAAAAATCATAATTTTTTTTTAAAACTGATATCCAACTAGTAGTAGGTAAACACTATCGATGTCTATATTGCTCCGTTGCCATTCCTACCTGCCGCCTAAGACGAAATGTGATCACAAGATCAATTTGATTAAACAACACACGAGTTTGCTGGAAATTCCTACAGATACCCACATGCCTGAAAATAAGAAATTGAAAGACAAGTGCATGGGTTAAAGGCAACTGGAAAGTACTAGTTCTAATGGTGATGGTAAAAAAGAAGGATGATTCTTGGAAGTATTGAACAAATTTAAGGAAATTTATTGCATTTACCATAAAAAATAAGTTTCCTATGCCACTAATACAGCATTTGCCGGATGAATTGAATGGGGCATGTTATTTTTCCACACTGGATAATAAAAGTGAGTATAATAAAGTTAGAATGACAGATGAAGGTGCATATATAGGACTGTCTTAAGAACTCGCAGTAGACATTATAAGTGGGTTGTTTTGTCCTTTCAATCACTCAAGAATGATATCTTATTATTATGCTAAGACTTGGAATGTTCATTAGAAATGCTTGACTATAACATTACAAATTGTGGAGGAAAATGGCTTCATTGTTAACAATAAAAATGTAGTTTTGGAAAGAAGAAAATAATGTATTTGGGTCATGTGATTTCAATTCAAAGGGCACAACTAGACAAAGAAAAGATTTGAACTATTTAACAATTGTCAACGCTAATTAACAACAGTTAAGGAACTCAGGTTCATCTTGAATTATGGAAAGATTGCGACCCCACTAACAATATTGTTTAAAAAGGGAAGGTGTTCAAGTGGACTGAAGAAACACTCATGTCTATACCAGAATTGAGGTTGGCAAACTTCAAACCACCTTTCACCATTGAGACAGATGCATCTGGAGGAGGTATTGGGGTTTTTCTGCTGCAAAAAGGACACTCTATTACTTAAATAACAGGACAATGGGACCTAACTACAAGTTGTTTTTAGTTTATGAGAAGGGGTTTTATGCAGTGAAAAAATGCCAACGCTACTTATGGGGATAATATTTTATCATTAAGACCAATCAAATTTCAACCTCCAACTACTTTAATACAACACTCATGACTTATAATTTTGAACCTATGATAAACACTCTTAACCAACATATGTTATAAAGGATTTTACCCTTTAAAAATAAATAAGAGGAGACACTTTAGTTATAAATATTAATTTAAAGTTAATAGCTAAAAATTATAAAAATTAAATGCTATATATCAAAATTTTAAATCAACTACAATTTCAATTGTAATTTTTTAATCAATAATTATTTATATATTTCATCATCTAAAAACCGTGAAATTCATATTTTCTAGTATCACATCGATTCTAAATAATTTTTATTTATTTATGTGAGGATCGATGCAATATCTTGTAATTTTTAATATATTATATTTATTTGACTTTACAATAATTTATTATTAATCAATTTGAAATATAAAATAAGTTTAAATATATTTTTAGCCTTCATAAAATTAATAAATTTTTTATTTTAATCTTATATATATATATATATATATATATATATATATATATATATATATATACTTTTGATTCTTTCAAAATTAGAAAGCACTATTTTGATCCTAATATTTTATGACACTAGTTAACTTTTTTTAAGTCAAATGTCAAATGACCATTACAAATGATTTACTATAATTTGTGATACAACATCAATACGTGGAACTTAAAAAAAAAATCTAAAGATTCTTAAAAGAATTATTATTTATTTATTTTAAAATAAATATTAGGGATTAAAAATATAACAAATTAAAGTTTTGGAAATATAAGAAAAACATATTTACAAGGATTAAAAGCAGAATTTACACATTTTATAAATACTAAAAATGATAACTTTAAATTCTATAAAAATAAAAAATAAATTGCTATTTTTTAAGAAAAAAAACTTATTCAAGCTTATAAAATAAATAAAAATGATAATATGTATGAAAAACTAATAAAAATAACACGTGTTTTGGAGGGTGACCTAGAAAAGAGGGTGTAAGTGTCGAATATATGAAGTACTTGTGTTTCTCAAACATTTCTTTCATCTCCCCTTTCCGCTTCGGCTCTGTTAGGTTTTCCTTCCGCGTGTTTGCCGGAACTACTCCTCCACTCATCGGTATTATTCTCTCTTTTCTTAGTTTGATTTCTATTCTACTCCGATTTTCTTCCTCTTTCACGTACTCAATTCAATTTCGCCTGTTTCCGATTGGAAATGGTTTTCTAATTGTCGTAATTCGCTTAGAAACATCGATTAGAAGCTGGATATGGTCATGGGTTTAGTCAATTTTGTGTTTGAAGTCACAGGGTTGTTTGGATTGCCTGAATTCCGGGCCCTAAAATTCACAAATTTAGTGAAGAATTCTGTGTACGGGGGCATATATAGGTTGAGTTTGATTAATTTGACTGAAGATTTTTAATTTTATGCAATCATAGTTATGTTTTCCATAATTTTGTGCTTCTAATCCTGGCTAGGTTTTTCTTGCCCAAGTTGTGACCTGTCATTTTGCTACACTGTACATGAAAATTGTATGAAAAATTATTACTTGTATTTTTTCACCCTCAATTAGGATTAGTAAGTGACTGACTGACTGACAGGGCCGTAGCCTTAAAATATGCTGTGGTGAATGTATTTTTGCAGCAATTTTTAACCCATCGATGATACATGCACACACAATATTTCTTTATAGGCTAAATATCTTTTTTTTAGCTTCCGGGAAATGAACTCACTTTTTTGCCGTTAAATTTCCTTCTGTTGAACTCTAGATGTTAATTGTCAGGAAGTTGGACAACATCTTTAATCATAGTATTATGGTCTTTTGGTTCATAAATAATCTGGTTCCTTAATTCTTGGAAGTTAATTGGCTTCATTAACAGGGAGCGTTTCTTCCACTAGTTTGTTGGATATTGAAATGGCTTATCTTAGATAGTTAATTCAAACATTATGTACTAATGATTGTCTTCCTGGATTTATGCAGTTTAAAATGTCTGACGTGGAAGAGTATCGTTGCTTCATTGGTGGCCTTGCTTGGTCAACATCTGATAGAAAATTAAAGGATACATTTGAAAAGTTTGGCAAACTTGTTGAGGCAAAGGTGACCAGTATCATGTTATATAATAGTTGTATTTCTTCTAGCTGAAACTATTGTTCAGTATCATAACTTTTCTTTTGTGTAGATGTTGGTTTATGTTGTATTTTTTTGCTGATATCTACAATTTGTCCTCTTTGTTTGTTTTTTTTTTGTTTTTTTTTGTTTTTTTAGGAGTAAAATTGCAATACCTGATGAACTCGTTTATAACCAAATCATGTAAACAAAATAAAAAGAAATCTGTTTACTGTGTTTACGAATATAAGGATAATTTTTTCTTTGGAGATTGTTAATGTTCTCTTTCATCATATTTTTGAAACAGGTTGTTGTTGACAAGTTTTCTGGGCGTTCTCGTGGTTTTGGATTTGTCACATTTGATGACAAGAAAGCAATGGAAGAGGCTATTGATGCTATGAATGGGATGGATTTAGATGGGCGAACTATTACAGTTGATAGAGCCCAGCCTCAACAAGGATCAGCTAGAGATGATGGTGATCGCTACCGGGAGCGAGGTCGTGAACGGAACCGAGATTATGGAGGTGGAGGTGGCCGAGGATCTAATGGTGGTGAATGCTTTAAGTGTGGAAAACCTGGTCATTTTGCTAGGGAATGCCCTGGTGAAGGGTCCAGGGGTGGAAAGTATGGTGGAAGGGAAAGTAGATATGGTGGAAGCAGTGGTGGTGGTCACTATGGTCCAGATAGAAATGCAGATCGTTCTTCAGGGGGCCGCAACAGGGATGGTGGTAGTCATGGAGATTCTGGAAATGATCGACATTATCGTGATCGTGCAGGACCGTATGAGCGAGAGCGACGGGGATCGGGAGGCTTTCGTTGATATATTTTATCTATCTATGAGGTATGCAACATGTAATAATACCTTGTCTCTCCTTTCTTCCCTTTGTGTTTATGGTTCTAATGAAGTTGCAATTGTGATTTTCTACAGCTTTGAAATTGGAGAGGTCGCTGTTAATGCTTCAACTTTCTTTTTCATTCACACTTCTCAATGCTCTGGACTTCTGGGATTGTTGTTTGGATGGATCATTGATACCAGTATTTTGATATGCAATACTCAGCACATTATGCAAACTCTTTATGTTCCTAAATGCTGATCTTTTGGTCTAGTGAAATCTTATGCATACTTGACTTGCGGTCAAATTCGATGTTGTGCTCTATGCTATCTATAATTGCTGCTGCTGGGTATCTTGTGAATTGTGACTTTAATGCATGGGGAGTTGATATGACATATTTGCTGCTGGATTACCTGATTCAGTTTAAGACGTATTGGAAAGTTTTGTTGGTGTTGGATGGGTTGGTTTTGGAAAGACCAAGATGGAGGTCCAAATGTGGAGTTTTGCTTCTTCTCATTTGGGAGAAGGAAGTTTTAAAAGTAGAATGCCCATTTGGCTATCCCGTCTCAGGATCTTTGAGTAAAAGTAGTCAAGCGGGTAAATTATTGAATATTTGTCTGGTACACCTACTTACTTATTTGCTAGATTTCTGCTTTGGCCTGCGCTTTATTAATTTTATTGACCTTTTGGCAGGATTCCTGGCTTAATGTGGTCTTTTTGGATTCATCATTGGGTTCTTTTGTTGCTAATTGGACATGCATGGTTTTTAAAACATAAAAAATCTTTTCAGCTGCAAATGGCTACCCACAATTGCACTCAATATGCATTCCACTCTTGTTTTCTTCACGGGGCACTGATGGAAAGGGGTTCCTTTTTCTATGATTGTGGTACTTTGTTTGGGAGATCATGATGCGTTGAGCAACTACGATCCATTGCTTTTTTTGCATTGTTGCTCTATTTGGTGGAAGATTGCTCTCATCGAACATTTTACCTGCCTGCATGTGATGTTTTGTATGCTGAGATCCAGTTTGTCTTACCATAGAGCAATAGTGAAACCTGACTTTGGTCCCATATTTCCATGCTCTTCAACCTCAAGGTTAATATCAGATTTGAGATTGCCGCCGTACTTAACCTTCTCACTATGATTATGAAAGGAAATTGATTGATAATACCTAGAATTTTGTAATTCGGTTATCATGCTCTGCTAAAATTTAATGTTTCTATATCTGTTGTCATCATGTTAAATGCCAAACCCTGTTCAATTTATTGTTTTCGTTCATTTTTTCTGTTTATCTTGCCAAGTGTTATATCTGACCGACTTTTCATATTTGTATATTTTGCTTATTTGTATGATTAATTGGTATTGTTACATGCTTATAATCTTTGGCTTAAGTAAGTTTTAGATTCAATATGTAGTCAATTTTTATTTTGAGTATTGAATAATATATAGTTTCTTTTTTAAAATTAGGTATCTGATAAATTAGTCATTCAAGTTTAAGTTCTTTCTAATACTTATTTCAGTACATTAGTATTGACATTTATTATGTTATAATGTAATGCAAAACATATTATAATTAAAAACATATTCGGAGGTCAAAGTAAAAATTTAAAAATATTTTAGGTACTCATCAACATAAATATAAATACATATTTCATTTAGAGATTTAAATTATATTGATTAATTTATTGAGTGTCTAATACGAAGTAATGAGATATTTCAAATTTTAATTATATATTACCGAAATATAAATTTATTTAAGTCTGGAATCTTTTGCCGAATGTTCTATTGTGACGGAACTAAGTATTTATTTATCTATGCGAGCGTTTGGACTGACCTAAAGAAAATGGAATATCGACCCTTATCCTAACTACTTCTAGGTTAAATTATATAATTCGTACTTTAGTTTAATATTTTTTCACATTCAAATTTAAGTTATAGACTTTATACTATTCTTTTTTTTTGTAGTCTGAATTTAGATGTTAGAGATTAAAAATGATGTAGAAAGGCTAAAATAAATTAAAATATACTTGAAAAGATTAAAATAAAGAATTTTAGATGTAAGGATTACAGGTTTTCTTTAAATTATAAGGACTTAATAAATAGATAAAGTATTTTGTGACTCTAATATATCATCTTCATACTTTGGTTTTAAAATTAAGACACCAAGATGTATATGCAGCTTACTGGGGTGACGCCATGTTGTACTGTTAGAGTCTCTAGGACCTCCTTTACTTAGAAGTTAGTAGCATGAGGTCGAACTGATGGGTTCAATATGTTGAATTAGGAATCAGATTAAAAATTGTTTACCTATTTCTAAATAATCAGATTTTAATTAGATTTTAATTAAATTGGAATAAAATAAAAAATTGAAACAAAACTGATAAAATTGAAAAAATTATTGAATTTTTAGTTGAACCAATTTTAGCAAAAAAAAAAAATTAAGATCAAATATTTGTAATATAATTTTTTTATAAAAATTATAATTTTTTATCTATAAAATTTAAATAATAATTATTTTATTGTAATTTTATTTTATTTTAATAATAATAATTCATCTTTTATTTTTTAATATATTTATAAAAATATTATTTTATTAGTTTTGATTGGATTCCGGTTCAAACCATCTCTTAACCGATTCGGTGATCGTCCCATTTTAAAAAATTAGATGAATGTGAGTTGAGGCGGAGGGTAGGAGTGGGAGTTATTGTGCGAGAAAGGGTTTAGCAAGTATGCCGACCTATTACGATTTTATTTGGGTGGAGTAGAGTTTATGATTTAAAGTTTAGGCTTTCATTACAGTTTTTTGTGAAAATTGAGAAATTTTTAACCGATCCAACTTTAAAATAAGGTAGGTTGAGTTACCACGGTTGGTTTAACTATTCTAGATTTTAGGATGTAGCTAGATCAAGTTTTTGCATTTTCAGAAAATGTGTTCCTTATGTTGTTTGTTCAAGAAAATGTTTATTATTTTAATTTTTTTTTTTAAGGTGGGTGACGAATAAATTTTTTTTTTTTTTACAGGGGTGAGCCGTTTTCATCTCTATGTCCACTATAAGTTTAATAGCAGCACGATGAAATATGAAATGAAAGAAATATGAGAATAACAAATATCGCAACGGTAGGATGAAAGATTATGATAAAAGATCACAAAATGGTTTAATATCTTTTCTCTTTTCACATTTTTCGATCATACGAATACAAAAATAAAGTTTTTGTCCCTATCCATATATGATGTGTGCCACTACCATGAATGGACGAAGAGAGTTTCGTAGGATAATTCATCCTTCGTTAGGGATGAGGGTTATTCATCAGAGTGTAATATAAGTACTTTTAGAAAGATGAAGTCCAAGTGATTTTAGATAGATAAAGGAATAACATCGTCATAAGAGAACATGAAGGTTGAAGATAGAGAAGGAGGATAAAACATAATTGGTTGGTAGTCTAAAATTCATGAATGTGAAAACTTATGGTGTAGGAGACAACCTAAAGATGTACCAAATACAAAAATGATCATGGTGTTTAGAGCAACTAAATGGTAAGTATTTAGGAAATACTTTAAGTTGCTTCAACTATCACTTGGAGAAGATGAAATAACACCAAAAATTACTTTAAAACTTGAGTAAAGTAGCTTGTTGAAGCAACAATTCTTTAAGATAAAAATATATTATTTTCTTATTTCACACATAATCCACATACAATGTAATCAAACCCAATTCATTTAACATTAACAAAAAAAAAAATTATCTCAATTCATACAACATATAAAAAAAATTGCAAAAATATCAACAACAATAATAATACAAATAACAATTACAACAAGTAAAAATATGAAATTCATATATATAAAGAGAAATTTCACCCATAACAAGACATGGTGGCAGTGAGATGGGGTTGTAAGGGGACATGGTGGCATACGATGATAGCAAGACGAAGTTGCTAGAGGTGTGAGAACATGCGATGACTCCCGGAGAATATGGGAAGAAGGGAAGGGAGAAGAGGAAGGAAAAAAGGGGAAGATGTGGGCAAAATGAGACGAGTTGTAGGAAGATGCCGTGATAACGCAAGAGAAGAAAGGAAAAGTAAGGGAGAAGGGAAAGAGAGGAAGAGGAAGGGAGAAGGGACAACAGGAAGGGGAAGGTTTTGTATGTAAAGAAGGGAGAATTGATATTTAAAAAAGAGAAAGAAGAGTGAGGTATTAAGAAAAAAATTGTAACGTTAGATGCTCAATGTGAAAAAAATTGAACCATTAGATTTTTATTCGTTTTTAGGTATTAAATGTCACGTTCATAAGCATTTAAAATTTTATCACTCAACAATAATAAATTTTTTACACTATAAAAACTCAATTATGGGTAAAAAAATTTCACATATATATTCTTCATTTCACCCTTTTGTTTTATATTTACTTGTATCTTTTTGTGAAAATTATGGATCTAATAAATTTAATTATCAGTATTATTTAATTTATTGGAAAATCAATCATTTCCTACATGTGGAAATTTTCAAATTCCTAAAATTATATTTATCCACCACTATTTTTTATATTTCTACCATCTCAAATAACATCAAACATAAGTATGATTCTTCTTCCTTCCAATCTAGAATCTTTTTCCCGAATCAAACTTGATACTATCCAACTTAGTGAAAGCAGTGAACACTACTACATATATGTCTTTCAACGTCGGTTATATAAGGCCTTCAACGGCGGTTCTAGAACCGACGTTGTATAAGGCGACGTTGAAAGTCTACACGTTCAACGTCGGTTATTCATACCCGACGTTGAAAGTGTAGACTTTCAACGTCGGGTATATAGAATCGACGTAGAAACACTGATTATAAACGACACTGCATTTGGGTTTTAACTACATCGGTTATGGTAAAAACCGACGTTGATATTATTATTTTCTACGTCGGTTATTGACACAACTGACGTAGAAAGTCTATTTTTTTTAAATGGCCGCTTTGTTTATACAGGGTATCCCAATGTTTTTATACAATACCTGCAAATTTGAATACAACCCAGACAGAAAATATACAAGATATAAACTAATTGAATGTGCATCCAAAAATAAAATTGTATCCAAAATTACAAATATGTATCCAACTACTTATCTAACAAATACACTAACTACTAATCTAACTAGTAAACTAACTAGTAAACTAACTAAACTAACTACTAAACTTGCCTACTTCTAACTTTAACAAACTTATCGGCCCAGGTGTTTCTAATATCGTCAATGGTCTCTATGGGCAACGCTTCTCTGTCTGAAAATACCTGTTACAAGAAAAAAGATAATTTAACAGAGTATCCAATGACACAATATTTAATTTTATTGAATACTAAATTTAAGCAAACCTGATTCCATGTATCCTCAGTCTTGCTAACAACAATCAGCCACATCCAGTGCATAACATAATATCCGCACTCATAAGATCCTGGTTGCCTATTACACTACAAAAAATAATATATTAATTTGACATATAAAATGAATGATATAATACATAAATATAAAATGACTTACATTAACAAAAATCCAATTTGGAGTCGTGCTTTTGCTTGTGTGTACTCCATCAATTGTATTGCAAACCTTAAATAATGCACTGTGCAATACAAAATATAATGAAACAATTAAGTAACAAAACAAGTAATAAATGTTTAAATTATTATAAGAATGTGTACCTGTTTACAATGTATTTAATATCTGCATCAGGTCTCTTGCCCAATGAGCAGAACCAAGCCACAACATTATGCTTTGGGCAAACAACCAACAACTGCCAATGATTTCTACTTACATTACAAAAAGTTAGGATACATAGAATACACTATAAAATTTAATGCGAATAATTTCATACGCTTAAATACTTACTGATAGAAGTAAGCACCCAAGTAAACTTTCTTCCTTGACTTCATCATCCAAATTTGGATGTATATTTGAACTTCTTCTCTCTTGTTTCCTGATTTTTGAATGGATTGGGGCTCAAAAAATCCATACACATCTTGGGTGCGTTGTTGCTCCGACAATTCATTCATCATCCTAAAGTAGCCAGTTCAATGTACATTAAATATGACGATAACTTCAAATAACATAATTAGTTAATAAAAATATATACTTACATTGTCCAAAATTGTAACACTACTATGTT